ATATAGATATAGATATAGATATATATATATATATAGATATATATATAGATATATATTCAATGGTTTTTGGATACTGTGACGTTTGTCAGATGGTACAGTGACACAATATCTTCAATCACTATAAACCAACAAGTGGACTAAAAGTTCTCTTTCAGTAAAGTTTGAGGCCAAACAATGAGGACATGCTTCATGGTACTTAGTCATGCAAGTGATGAGTGACTTTGACGATATGCTCCGCATGTGAAAAGTGAAAGAGACCAAAGTCAAAGAGAGAGAAACTGAGAGAGGGTCAATATCCTAAATCTAGGTCATGTCTCTCATGAGGAGCATGACTAAAAATATCCACCCTCTTTGCCAAAGTATTTCCCCTCCACTAGAGACAAACAATAACCCTCTGCTCTCTAGCTGTGACATATTACCAAAAACTGGTGAATGAACGAAGCCCCATGGCAACATGTTCATGCCCTGTTGCAAATCACATATTTAGAGCCCCTTTTCTATTCTAATTTAGCTGTTTTTGTCATACCGAATGGGAACCGAAATTCCTGTACATAAATTTACCATCTTCACGGTAATGCCCTGTTCTAATAGTTTTGGGAAACGCAAACCGAAAAATGCACCCAGTGTCTCAGCCAGTAGCTCAGGACTCATTTTGAATGCTAATGAGCTCCCACGTTTCGTTTCCTTTGGAAGATTAGAATGGCTATTTCCTTGGCAAACAACTTTGCATTGATTACACAGCACATTACACAGCATCCGCATATTTTTGACAGTTGTGAGATCAATAGCCACTATAAATGTGTTTATTCTGTTTCGTTCAGACTGTTGCTGTAGACGTTTTATTTAGATAATAACCAAAGAAAAAAAACAACTCAGTGAAGCCCCATGCAACTTGGATGTAACTAAAAACGACACTTCAAAGGAGACTTATGTGAAATGGGTTTTTTTGGGAGGGGAGGGGTCAGCAGGGTTGGCCTCTGATGGCCATAAAGCAGATTGGGTTAAAAGAGTGCAGAGGGGGGCATTTGGAGCTTGCAAGACCTGCCTGAGAGGAACACAGCAGAGGACGAGGCACCAGAAGGAGAGGGGAGTGTAGAAGTTATGTGTTTGAGAAGTGAAGCGGAAGAGGGGGGGGGGGAATACAGATGATGTCAGAGGATCAGAGGTCCTCTGTCTCCGGCATGGAGGCCGTCTCAGAGAGGCGGGCGAGGACTCGCAGCATGGCTCTGTTCTCAGCCAGGAGACACTCGTTCACCCTCCGCAAGGTCTGGACCTGAGCCAGAGCGGGGAAAGCCTGCACAGAGGAGGAGAGAGATACAGAGAGGGGCAGACAGAGAAAGCATGCAGGGAGGCAGGCCGTGTGCAAAGAGGAAGACTCATACAGAGACAGTGTACATATTCACTCACCCACACAGATAGAGAGGGAAAGAACAACAGATCTGATGGACTCATCAGCAAAACTTATATAAACGAATATTTACACAACAGGGGGGATTTTGAGAAGAAATAGCAAAAGCTGCAACAAGCAAAGGAAGCCAGTTCTCTTTGGATTATGCTCATCAAACCTGGGCTGTATGTGGAGAATGGGGAGTTGTTATATGCGTAGCTTTGCAGAGGATGGGGACTAAAAAACTCATAAAAGAAATTAAGATAATTTAAATTCTACTATTTCAAACATAGCACATGAGCCTTGCCAGTTTTAAGTCAAAGCAAAAGAAATGATTCATTTCCCCTTCTTCTCTTCTTGGCCTGACTTTTTGAGGTGAACCTCAATGTGGTTCAACAGAAACATCTGTGGCTTGACGCGATTCCTGAGGGCAAACCACGTAACACACACACACACACACACACACACACACACACACACACACACACACACAGGGCAATTGTAGGGTTTCAGCCTACCCAAACATAACGTAGACGTGAATAAGGCCAAAGTTGAGGTTTAAAGAGGACATCCAGCTGCTTCTTACAACACTAAAACACACTTATGAAAGAAATTTGAAGCTAGCCTGTGTTTGGAACGCAACAGTTCATGCATATAATGTTCTCTTGGAATCAGAACAAGAAGGTGCAGTTTTCTGGAGAGGTGCCCTTGGCGAGAAAGAAGAGAAGGACAGAGTGAAGCGAGAATGCACAATGTTTGATTGAATTTATTACTCTCTTAAAATTGAGCTCTTTGATATTAAATTAGATTTGACCAAACTCTCCAGTCCTGCAGATAATTCAGCACAGTTAATATCAATCAAATTTCAGAGGAATAATTCAGCTTTCTGTATGAAATGTGAGACCCTGGAAGGTAATCACTAGTGGAGGGACTATTTCAAAAGGGAAAACAAGGACACACAGTGCTATTGATGAGAAGCACCTGAAACCAGGCCCAGTGTACTACAGACCAGCAGGATCAGAGCTGAAGAGGTAGTCCTAATCCAACCTGCACCTCTCTACTGGAGATGAAGCCATGCCTACTTGCACCATAGGGAAGGATTGTAATAGCGTTTGCAATGTTGAGGCTTCTGTCATCTGCAGAGTGTCACAACCGCAGTCATTTTAATACCTAAACAGCAGCAGCAGTTGTACTGTGTTTAAATTGCAGCAGCTGTTACTGGAAGACAATGCTGTCATTTCTGCATCTTGAGGTCTTAAGTGTTGCTGCTAGTATCTCTCCTTTCCGGTATTTGGCACGGGTTGGCCAATCTAAACGTGAACAAGTGACTTTGTGAGTGAGTGACAAACTAGCTCCCCTGGTGTGCTTTGCATCTAAAGAAAAAGTAAAACAGTCGTGTGCCTGTGTACATTGCGTGACGTAGACGTGCGTCCACACGTGTAAACATGCCCGAGTTTCTGACGAAGCAGAATCGAGTGAGGTGACAGGCAGGTGTCAATCACTTCTTCCGCGTCATAGCGACCACTCACCATCCCCCCTCCCCTGAGACACCCTGCTCTCAGGGCTGGTACCCACAGCGGAACCGCAGCGGGGCGTCCTGCTGAAGGGAACCACGACAACGAGGGGGTCAAACATTTGCTGCTGACGTACCACACTGCTGTATGCGTCCTATTTATAACATCCCTGTCTCTGCCTGCGTATTATATACGTTCTCAGACCTGAGCCGTGATTTTTATCTGTTGAGAAAGATAGCACTGCCATTACAATCAAATTCTTATTGTGTCATTTGTGGTAGCTCGCACATACTACACGCGCACACACACACAGCGCAGGCCACGTCTATTCAAGTCTGAAATCTCTCTGCTGCTCTACCCTGTCTTGCTTTGTGAAGCAGAATACATACAGCGCAGTGCAGGAATGTCTCACAAAAGCAGGTCTTTTGCTCTTGGATGGGGTTTGGTATTCAGCTAGAACTAGGTCACAATGTTCACCCCAACAGTGGGATAAGTGGAGCAGGAGAGACGCAGCACAGGCTCCTCCTCAGCCTGGCAGGAAGTGGCCCAGCAGAACACTGTGGGTAATGAGCCCGAAGCATTAATCTTCCCTCTCCTTGACTTCAAACCCACCTGGCAAACAACGACCCTGGGGTGAGAATGTGTTGGCTATATATGTGTGTTTTGCTCCATAAAAACATTTTAGGCATGTTTGATTTAGCTGGAGGTGTGTACCTTCAAGTACTGTTAGTGTTATTGCAGTGTTAGGGAAAAAAACCCATCTGAGATAAATGACGCACGACTTGTATAAGAGAGAAAATATGCTATTTAAACCCAGGGTGAGTATGCATGATTTATTTTTGAATGCACTGACCTTCAACTCATCCTCCATGTTTGACACTCTTTTCTCAAGAGCTTGTTTTTCCTGTAAATGAAAAAGAAACAACTGAAATGAATATACCTCCTTGGGGGGGGAAAAAGAGTGAAACAGGAAAAATAGAGGGGAAAAGAGCAAGAAAGGAGATGGACATTCAACCATCTTGATCATCAAATAAAATACCAAAATTCCCAAATGTTGCCAAGACACTTACCCTTTTCTCAGATTCAAGTACTGTTGATCTCTCTGATATTCTGTCGTGCCTCTAGAAGTTAGAATGGTTCTGTTATTGTAAGTATTGGGAGAATAATATGTATTTTGAAACAAGATTTCATTAAGTAATCAGCCACGACCTTCCTTCTGCACACCCAGGGGAAAAGGTTGATGGTGAGGCAGTGAGAACAGAACTGAATTGACAGTTTTCTTCTTTGGGTTTTCTGTACCTGAGTGACTTTGTCCAGCTGGGAGCGGATCTTGACCAGTTCGTGTTTGCTGTCGTGCAACCTGGACTTGAGCTTCTCATTCTCATGCAAAGCTTCTGCATACATCTGAAAGTGAACATGGTGAAGATTAAGGAACAGCTTTATTCTAGAGATTCTGGTCTTTTAATTGTCAAATTATTACTGTTATATACTAAGTTGACTTATTTTTTATTTATTAAATAACACACTGACCAGTCTAACACAACAGAAGGTTAGAAAACAAAAAGTTAGAATAGAAATGTATGAAGCCAGAAAGTGTTCAGAATAAAACCATAGTATATGTAGGCCCACGTAAAAAAAATTATACATATGTATATACATATACATACGATGCTCAAAAAATTGTGAGCATGTTGTATGGTTTCATCATTCTTGTTTCCATAATAATAATAATTTATTTGAAATCATTCATAGGCCTATAATTAGTCATCATTTATGACTGGAGCTTAGAGAAAAAGCTAAGAAGGTTTTCTTTCATTTTATTTTTTTGCCCAAGTCAGTCGTAAAACACTGTTTTGATTTCTACCACGGCCAGCCCAAGGAGAGATGTATATATATTACTTAAAACCCAAACAGTGATAGCCACTCCACAGTATAGCTAGCCAGCTAACTAGGCTGCATCAAAATGAAGACCCATTGTTAGCGAGCTCATGTTGGCTATAGCGTACAAAGAGAAACACTGTTTTTATGTTCCTCACAGAGTTGTGTGTCTTTTCTCTGAGGAACTTCTTCAGAATCCAAACCCTGAAATAACCTCCTAGCTTCGGCCGTTAGCCAGCTAGCCACAGCTTTGTTAAGCTGAATGTGTTTGATTTACGGCTTACTAAAAGTATTTCTTAATTACATAGCTATTTATTTATTTAATATTAAAAACTTCCCACGCCAAATAAATAAAGTAATGAAGAAATCAATTTGATATCTAAATCTATCTTGAATATTATCCAAAACCTGCTGTCAGTTATTTGTATAACCATCCATTTATACAAACAGACCAATGTCTGAATCCGATATAGCCTTCTTATGTGCCAGGCAGTGACAAAGTGCCTGAGTATGTGTTTTTCTTCCCTCCTGCCTTTCTTTCTCTCTCCCTCCCCTGTTTTCTCTCCAGGTGCTAACAGGATGATTGGTTTCCACCTGTGCAGGCCAGTAATGCTGCTGATTGGTTTCCACAGACTTCGAGCTGGCCAATAAAACAACCATAAAAGGAGAAAGCCCCTGAGGAGATCATGTTCTTTTTTTTTTGTTCTCTGTTTTTTGAAAACTTGTATGGAATGTTTGCGGTGGGAGGTTGAGGATGGACGTTGATTGCATCCCCTTTACATTTTACATACACGTAGTTCACTTTAGTCTAGGGTCCGTGGGTTTATCGGACAATGCTGCCCCTGTATTTGTTATGGTGAAGCTATTTTTAGATAAGCAAGTTAAGCCTTTTTGTTTGTGTTTTGTCCTCTGAGGTAGGAGTTAGCCAGGCCTAGTTATGTTAGATTTATTTCTATATATTTGGCACGACGACTTTGTCCCGTCCTTCCCCACATATGGAGAACCTTAACGTTGCAAGTATGAGACTCTTTTGAATTCTTTGGTTGTCGTGTTACAGTCTCCGCTTTTCCTCTAGACTTAAAAAAGGGATGTAACAGCCGATAATAACATATTACTAGTCGGCATCATTTATGACTGGAAATATCGAAATTGCCTATCAATACAATTAATTTAGAATATTAACACTTTTCATATGTCAAAGTATAAAATCTGTGAATATTTTAAAAAATAGCTTAAGTGAATTTCTATTCAAATATTTAATAGATAAAATATTTTTTTTATTATCTTAAAGTCCTCTTGAATCTCCATCTGCTTGGCCTCATTGGAATGTTATTAAAATAGATAAATCTCTCTGTTGATCCAACGGCTTTCTGCACCATATGAATCATTCTGGAGGGATTGTGCTTGTTCAGACTGAGGTAAAAGTAACTTACTACCTTCTTATAGTCTTTGGTAGTGGAGTCTTGGTCCTGTCTGCTCAGAGCAGCCAGCCTCGTCTCCCTCCGAGTGTAAGAGCTGGCGCGGCCCAATGGTTTGTCTGTCGCACTCTCCCCACTGGAGTCGTATCTAAAAGTAACACATTCAGTACACGCTGCCACTTTATTTAGGGCACTTATTGTTTGATTGTTCTCAGGAAATGCAGTTCTGTATTGCAGGAGATTAAAAGAAAAAAGATGAATCCTCACCTTGACAATCTGTCATGCTGCAAAACAAACAACAAACTATGTTAGTTTGATCACTCAATACTTCAGCATGGGAACAACACAGTGTAAAAACAATGTTCAGTTGTGATTAGATCCACATTTGTTTGTTTGATAAGATCAACCAGAGGCTTGGCGGTGAAATATTTTCCATTTTGAGACAACGGAGGAAAAACAAAACTTCCAAGTGAATTATCGCATCGTGTCCCAGGGGGGGGGAAATGCATGCAAGAAGTGATAAATAATTCAGCCAAACACTGCACTCACAGGGTTCACGTGGGTCAACCCTCCCCGGTGAGCCCGGGTTAATCTTTCAGAACTGGGGGCTGCCATGCAAATGCCTGCAGCACAAAGATGACATCATGACATCAGACGTGAAGTATCTCCTGTGTGACGGGTCGACGTCTGACCTCAGACAACAGACTGATAGCATGCGGTCCTGGCAGTGGTTTGCTATGACCAGCCCAGTGTACACGGCTGCCAAGGAGTCTGGGTAGTGTACTTCACTAAGAGCAGTTGCATGTGTGTTTTTCTCAAACTGGATTTCACTCTGGTCTATTTTCAGAAATCCTATTACCTCAAAGATATGCCTATAATTTATTAGCTGGTAGGATCAGTTTATGTCTGCTGCCTCCCTGTGCTAATATACATGTCATACAATTCATACACTGTGTGCAAAGGGTCTCCACTATCAAAATCTGTGTCTATCCAGACTTTCACCCAGACCTGTTTCTGCTCTGAACCAAACTGAACAAATAGATAACTCACTGCCATCAGCTGATAAATGTGGCACATGAGAGGATGATGACTGGAGGTGTTTACGATCAGTCGGAGACTGGAAAAGAGTCATTGAGGGAAAGAGAAGAGGTCACAATATGATGCCAGACTTATCGATGATGTGTTTTGAATGCAGTCTTGTAAACTTTACTCCTAAACTTATAGATTTGGAGTCGCTGTCTCACCAGGAAAAGAGAGCTTTAAACACCTCTGTTTAGAAATAAACGGCAATAAACGTCTTGTGTGGTGCTGGTGATCCAAGCTGCTTGAGACAAGAAGCAGATGTAGACCGCATTAAAGTATTAGGCTTTATCGGAGGACAATTTGTGTCAAAGAGGGACAGAGCGAACAAATATTCCTGTGCTCGCATTTGCAGACTTAGGGGGGGGTATTTCATGCAGCGTCAAAGGAGCTGTTCCGCAGCAAGTGTTTACATAACTGAGCCAGCGCTGCCTGTCCTTATGTGGTCATGTGCTTAAGCAGAAAGCTACCCAGGAAAAAACAGACCTCCGTGACCTGAAATGAAAAAAGGGCCAAGGATGGAGCCATGAAGAGCTCCCACTCACTCCAATCTCTCGGTGCAACGCTGAGGTTATTCCTCGATCATATTTGGTGCTCATGGTTAATCAACTGATTGCCCCCCCCCCCGATTTTATGAATAAATCACCGTGATGTCTGCTTCACAAAACTCTTTCAAGATTATGAGTTCCTGGCTGTACACAAACCTATTTCACACTACAGAATTAGCAAATTAGGGAAATTATTTATAATTCCAGTGACATCCAAAGCAAGCCAGTGGGGTTATATAGGACGTGATTCTTAGTAAAAGAGGGAATCCTTACCCTAACGCACGCTTTTACATGTATGTCTGCATCATGGTGCTTTTTGTTCAAATTTAACCAAAAAGACAGAAAATGAGTCATAGCTGAAATTCTTCTTCTGATAGCAGCTGCAGTGTGCTTCCCTTGTTAGGAGAGGCAGAGGGAATCAGAAGTGGCACATGTAGCTCTGCAGCAAAGTTCGTGAGGCAGAGCAGATGCAACAGAGACAATCAACTGAAAAACAACAGGGTGTCAGACTGATGGAAACATGCATGCTTGAACCACGGGCACTCTGTAAACACATCTGCCTCCAGTTTTATGGTTTGCCAGGACCAACATCATACACACCAGGGGGGTGTCGGAGGCAGGCTTCCTGCACGAGCTCACTGCTACATTATAAAAAGCGATAATGTTAACAGCAGTCTGCAAGAGCCAATGAAATCATCATTAGGAGAGTCTTCACTCTCCCTCTCATCTCCTCCCCTCGCTCTGTCACAGCATCACTCCTACAGGGCTGACTGGATTTTGCATTAGGAAAATCTGAGCTACACACACAAACGTTCTCTCTTCACCCCCTCCGCTGGAACTGAGGCTGCACACACAACCATAAAAGAGCTTTCTTCCACATTCACTCACCTTTGCTCATTTCAGCCACTCCTGCTATTAACTCCTTACAGAGCATCTGAGCTCGTCTGTGAGCAACTTCCTGTTTTTCTTTTTCAAGAGCACTGACTCAAAATGAATCCCCTCCAGTGATGGAAGAAGACGTACTCGGATGCTTTACTTCAGTAAAAGTACTAATACCACAATGCAAAAATACTTAATTACAAGTAAACATCCTGTACAGTATTTAGAATCCAAAATAAAAGAGAGAAATATCTGTTATTGACTTATATGGAACATTGTTAGCTTGTTAATGCATCAATGCGTATGGAGTATTTTACTGTCGTAGTTGGCCATGGTGGAGCTTGTTTTAGCTACAGTTAGTCTAGTCTAGTTTGTTCTCTAATGTTGGCTTTTTTTTTTAGGGAAGTTTGAGGGTCGGAAATAATTCCGTCATAATCTGCCCTGCCCCTATGTTTTCTTTGTTTCTTGTGATATATTTATAGTTTACTGTTTTTATTTTGTCGTCACCTCTCCTTTCATTCCAGATAACATCACTTCCTGCCTTTGCATGTTTTTTCCCGCCAGTTTTGGATGTCTGCCCTACCCTGATTAGTTTCACCTGTCCCTCGTTAGCCCTGCACTCACCAGACCTCCTGAACACCTGTTCTCACTTCCCCAGTCAGCCATTCACTACATATACCAGTTCATCTTCACATAGAGTTTTGTTTATCTGTAATCCGCCTTATTTATTTTTCTTTTGCGTTATTAGCCTGGCTCTTAGTCTGCTTCCATCAACCACAACAATATGTTTTGTGGAACTCATGGACACCTGAACTGTGTTTTTCTTAGAAAGTCTCAAGCAAAAGGTGAGGAACCAACCGTTTAATCTGCATGTGTTACATTTCATAAACATATAAAATGTGTGTGACTATAGTAAATGTAGAAAACATTTCACCCTGAAATGTAGTGGAGTGAAAGTCTCAAGTAGCATTAAATGGAAACAAATAAAGTACAGATGTGGTATGTTTTTGCACAGTACTTTCCATCACTTAAGATCTGCCAAATGTGTGTGTCACCCAATAAAATGTGTCACTGTTTATACTACTTCCTTTTTCTCACAGCTGTATCGCACACTGTAGTTTACAGAAGAGGACCGGGTTCTCATCAAAACATTGTGACAAGTGCTAAAAATACTGCATCAGCCCTCTGAATTGCATTTTCTCTCCCATGAAAAGTCAAAACCATTTCAGATTGGGCCGACGTCATGGAAAATAAATGCCTGAGTTTCACCATGGATATGTTTCGAAAATAAAGAAAGCAGAATAGCGCTAGCAACTGTGCTGTAATGAGTGTCTGTAGTGTTGCACAACATTAGATGAGCAAATGTGGAGGTCTCTCTGTCTGCATGTCTGCATTTATTTCTGCCCCTTTAAATGGGGCTGTCACAGAGCTCAGTCTGCTGCAATGACAGTCAAACAACGCCCATAAGCCACTTATACAGAAAAACAAAACGGGAAGTTACAGAAGAAACATTTCAGTCCAAAAGTCTTTTCCCAGAAAATGTGGTAATCAATTAGGCTGAGCTGACGAGTGGTTCACAAGTTATTTCAACAGTGTAATGAACTCATTTGGTGAATCAGGAGTGGTAGATCGTTCATGCAGATGCACATAATCATGTAGAAAATTAGGGAATAACTCTTATCCTGTTAATAAAAATATTTGCTTGTTTGACTGAACACGCTCACAACTCCACATGTCCAGGTGAATATTTAACAAGGGCTGCAACAATTATTTAAATCAGTTAATTTGCCAGTTATCGCTTTGCCAAAAAAATGTCAAAACAATTCCAATTTGATTGCTTTCATTTTTTTGTTGCATCTGAAAAACTGTGAAAGAGAGAAACTTTTCCTCATATTTGAGAGGCTGAAATTACAGAATGTATTTCTGCTGGGAAAATGAGAAATTCCATTATTGAAAATAGCTGAACCATTTTTGTAGACCGACTCACTGATCAATCAGTCGATTATATCAACTCTACTTAAGACGGAGCTGTCATGGCTTTAGACATCTTAAAAGATTTAGTCTGAAGCCATGGAAAATAATATCTGGTTTATGGATCATTCACAACCAGAGGAAATAAGCTGCTATATTAATCAGAAATTGAAGAAGCTTAAACATACAAAGTCACAAATATCAATACTTTTAACAGCTTCATGAAGATAAATTGCACTTAGAGATATAGATATACGTAATTAGAAGCATCTATCCTGCTGCATTGGTGAAATCAAGTTTGAAATCCAAAATGTGCATTTCTCTTTAAGAAAAGTTTCTGGTCTTACTCTGTAGTTTTTGTCTGTAGGGGACGGAGAGGACGGCGGTGACTCTGTCACTGACTTCCTGGTGCGAGTCAGGTCCTTGGTGCGCGGGTAGTAGGATGACATTTCCCCTCTCTTCTGTGGACCGGCAGGTCAACGTCTACTGTAACATTCACCGAGGCCAACAACAGGTAACAGCTGCACAGATTCCCTCAAGCAACGGTGACGCAGATGTCCATGACTGCGCTGCCGGGGAATCCTCAAGTGTGTGTGTGTGTGTGTGTGTGTGTGTGTGTGTGTGTGTGTGTGTGTGTGTGTGTGTGTGTCAGTCCAGCTTCACACTCCCATGAGCTGGAGAGATCTGCAGCTAAGTTTGTAAGGGATTCCAAATGTGTGGTCAATGAAGCGATAATCAGATAAAAATGTAAAGAACAACAAACTGTCCTCTGATGACAAAAGCTGAGAAATAACTCTTAATCTAAGCAAACTAATTGTTCAACACTGGCGTCTTTGATGAAATGTGGAAAGAAAGAGAGAAAAAAAAAAAAAGTCCAAAATGAAGCAACCAGGAGAGAAAAGTTTGCTCCCTTTGCTGCCTCTTCCTATGTTTCCCAAAGTTATGCACGCACTCCCTCTCTCCTTTTCCTCTCGCTGCTTGGTCGCCCTCCCAGTCCCTCCACCCCCCTCACCCATCCACCCCCTCACGCTTCTCCCTGCTCTCTTCAGCGCTGGCAATCTGCCAGAGGCTCTGCTATGGCTGGACTCGGCACTGAGGGCTAAAATTGTCCACTGATGTGGACGAGGATAAGGGGGAGGTGGAGCACAAAGCCAGAGTTGGAGAGGGGGGGTGCAGCAGTTTGTGTCCTGGAAGGTCAACACAGTATTATCTGAGGAGCCATCATCAACTGTGAAGTGTCAAGTAACTGTGTTGGCCCCACAGTGTGATGGAGAGGAGAGATGCTGTTAGTAGGAGTGCTACACAGTTTCCTCTCACCAAAGGTGTTGGATTTATTTCTCATTTAAGTCCTGTAATATTAACGAGCCATTGGTTAAATGTTCATCCTGTGGCCTTTTATGAGGCCTTTCTACAAAGTCACCATCTTAATCACGGAACAGTTTTTGGGGAAAGGATTTTTTGCTTTGCTGCCAAGAGTTGGATAAGGAAATCAATACCTCTCATGTCTGTACAATATCTACTGTTTGAAGCTGTAAACACTTAGCACAGCGTACAAACTGGAAACAGGGAAACCGCCAGTCAGTTGCAAAGATAACATTTTTTTCTACATTTCGGTTTTTGCACAAATTGAACAGACAAGATATGACATGTTAATTAGTGAGCGTCGGTGCCGGTACACAGATTTTGTCACCTTTGGAAAGAACCAGGCTAGCTGTTGCCAGTCTTTATGCTAAGCTAAGCTAACCGGCAGCTGGCTTTAACTTCATATTTACCGTACAGACAAGAGAGAGTGGTATCAATCTTCTCATCTAATTCTCAGCAAGAAGGCAATAGAAGCATATTTCCCACCAT